CACTCACATTTCACTGGCAAGACCTAGTCACATGGCTGCAGTAGCTGTAGAGGATGGAAAATAGAATTTTCAACTGATGGCCATGTGGCTGGTAAAAGTTAAAATGCTGCTAAAGAGAGATACACCACATCTACCTTACAGATTTCTGTATCCCTGCCAACTGCTCCATCCTCTACGGATGTCCCAGGGAAGGATGGCCTAAGGCATGTGTCTGCAAACCTTTCCTCTAAGAGCCACACAGTAAATACTTCAGGCTTTCTAGGGCACATATTCTCTTTGGCAACTACTCATCCTTGCTGTTTCAGGACAAAGGAGTCATAGACTCTATGACTAAATGTCAACAAAAGAGCATGGCTATTGTTTTAGTCATCCGTTAGAGTATAACACATTACTATACATTTAGAAGTCTAAATCAACACATATTCATTATCTCACAGTTACTGTGGGCTGGAGTTTGAGTCCTTCACATAAACTCTCACAAGGCTGTAGTCATGGTCATTTGGGACTGTGTCCTCATCTGTAGGTTTGACTGGGAAAGAGTTCACTTCCTAACTTACTTGGGTTGTTTGTAGATTTATTTCCTATGGCTGTGGGGCTGCCGGCCTAGGGACTCAGCTTCTTCCTGGCTGCTGGTTGCCCTCAGCTCACAGAGGTCACCCACAGTTCCTCATCGTATCATTCTGCCCACAGCCCTTCTCACAACATGGCAGCTTGCTTCTTCCAAGACAAGGAGGGAGGAAATCTCTACAGCGAGTTTGGTAGCACAACAAAATTTTACATAATGCAACAATCAGGGGAGTGACATCCCATTTCCTTTGTCAGATTTGAGTGGTTAGAAGCAAGTAACAGTGGTGCTCACCCTCAAGGACAGAGGATTGTACCAAGATGTGAATACCAAAAGGCAGGGATGACTGGGAGCCTGCCTACCTAGCTATGTTACAATAAAACTTGATAAAAACAAGGGGTGGGCTGGGCATAGTTTGCTGACCCCTGGAATAATGAGTAAGGTGTATTTAGGTAAGAGATAAAAATTCATAGAACAGAGTTAGAGCAAAAGACTGGTCAGAATCAGAAGTGATATGCAGAAAGAGAGCTCCAGAAAAAAAAAAAATTCAGATTCTGATCCCATCTTGTAATATACAAGTTATCTTATCTTGGGTTATGATGAAGAAACTGAGCTTGAGCAAATTTAGTATCACATAAAGTAGAGGAACTAGGACATGACTCTTAGACTGTCATGAGGGTCCAGACACTTAAAATTTTATTTAAAGTGTAATGGATGCCTTTGAAGGATTCTAAGCGGAGAGATGGTACAACTAATGTGACTGATGTTTTAGAAATATCAGCTCTGTGTGAAGAGTGCATTGAAGGAGGCTAGAGTGGAAGCAGGGTAGTCCAGGTCAAAGACAGCGGTTGCCCAAAGAAGGCAGTGCCCTAAATCTGCAAGACATTCTGGTGGTAGAAGTGACAGGGCCACCTTATAACCATAATGCATTCTATAGTCTCCTTACCCACAACATCTGGTCACATGGATCTTCTTTGGTTCCTTAAATGTGCTAAACCTTTCCCAATCTCTAGAATGCTGCATGGGCCATTCTACATGTCAAGAAGGCTTTTCACTCTGTTCTTCTATTATTAACTCTATTTCTCATGGCTTCTTGGCCTTTCAGCTAAGATCAAGTATTAGTTACTCTGTTCTTCAATTGTTTTGTTCTACCTCATCCCACAGGACTCACTTCAAATCTCAAGTCCTCAGAGAATCTTTCCTTGGTGCCCCAATCTAAGTTTGGTTCTATCTTTGATCTTCTCTTAATAGAAGCCAATTATTTTCCATCCTATACTTTGTCACAATGTATTACATTTTCTTGCTTTTAAAAAATTGACTCTAACATATTGTGCTTTAAGAAACATGTTTATTTTGTTCATCATTGTTAATATGGTGCTAGTATACAAAGTTCCTAGAATCATAGGCACTCACTGAATATTCGTTAAAATACATGTCTGGTTTCAATGTCCTTACACTTAAATACTGTGCTAGTAGTGCCTCTCACATTTGCTAATTATAGAACAGATCTCCTCTTCAACTTTTCTGGTGTCATCAGTGTGACATACCCCAAGTAATTAGTGATGTTCCAGCGTCCAACTATCTCACATCATACTCTTACCAAAACCTGGTCCCAGGTTAAGGATAATGTAGAGAATGAAATGATGAGCAGTAGGAGAAACTGGTGATGAAGCTGTCTTGAGATAGCTGAATTCTCACTTACTGCTGGTGATGGTATAAATGGATATGGGCCTTTGGGAAAAGAATTCATCAATATGCAAACATGGCTTTAAAATAAATATAAATAAGGGTGCCTGGGTGGCTCAGTCGGTTGAATGTACTAACTCTTGACCTCATCTCAGGTCTTGATATCAGGGTTGTGACTTCAAGCCCCATGTTAGGCTCCATGCTGGGTATGGAGCCTACCTAAAAATACATATACACATAAATATAAGTAAAAAAACACACAAAAAGGCACGTGCACGTGTATTTACATAAGAGATCTGAAAACATATAGATCAAGAGTTTCCAAGTAGTTAGGGAGGCACTTCTGGGAAGTGGGGAGTGAAACTGGAAAAAGAGGAAATTTTTTTTAAACTATGGGCAACTATTATTTTTATAATAAAATCTCATTAAAGATAAAAATTGAAAATAAATCTTCATACTTTTTATGTAATCCCACCTCTAGTTGTCTATACTACTAAAATAATGACAGATGTGGTCCAGGGGTTGTAGATATAAAGATATGTCACCAGTGAGTTCTTTCATGTGTTAAAAAACTGGAAATAATCTAAACGTCCAACAACAGATTGGATAACTACATAAAGTGGAGCTCATGCACATGATGGGCTATTTAATATACATTAAAATTATATTTTAGATTCTAAGGACAGGAAAAATGCTCAGGTATAATATTACATAAGCAAAGCAAAGTATGGAACTATTTATGGCATTATTTCAATGTGTTAGGAAAGGAAGAAAAAAAGAGAAAAAAATAATGAGAAAGTCATATGGGTAAAAAAAAAAAAAAAACCCATGTTAGTAAAATCTACCAAAATGTCATTTAATGGCCATTTGGATGATAAGAGTCTATAATTTTAGGTTATTTCTTTATGATTTTTGTTTTTTCCTAATTAAAAAGAATCACAAATTATTACTGGAGAATCACAAATATTATTTGTAGTAGGTGTAAAAATAGTACATTAGTTTTTTTCTAGTAAGTGTGCCCCATCCTCATGTCAAGCACTCATTTAAGAGTGCCTGCTAAGAGAGGAGATTCCAGCACTTGCCTCTCTATCTCCCATATTTCTATGAAAAAGTAACAGGTACTCAGTACTGTTTGGGAGTATTTTCTTTGGCGCATCACAACAACAGTGGTGCCTTATGGAATGAAATTATCTGCAATTAAATATATTTTGGGAATAGTTATGTTCTCAGTTGGAATTCGACCTTCTACTTGTCCTTTCTTCAATGCCCTTGATCAGACTTTCTTGAACTAGACTCATTGAGAGGAAGCTCTTTACCACATTTTTGTATAGTTTTAGATAATATTCTTAGAGAGTATAAAACCAGTCCTTTTAGGGAGCATAAAATGAGCTACTAATCGAGAATTTCATTTTGGACTGTCATGTTTAATTTAGATAGCTACAATGGGAGTTAAATTGGCCATTAAACCAATGAAAATTTCTACCTATCCATATGGTCACTGTCAGGAGGCCCTAACAAATTCCACTTGAGATGATGTATGTGTTTTTGTATATAAGAAGTCTGAAAGAATAGCTCCCAAAATGTTTAAGTAGTCAGGGAGCTCCCTCTGGAACAGGCAGAACAGAGTGTAACAACATTAGACAGTTCCCATAAGCTACATATGGAAATAAATGCTGTTAAACTATGAACACGTCTTCCAGATATCTTATTAATGGAAGTTTAAGTTAAAACTTTTTCAAATTAATCAACTATGGACAGCAATGGTAATATTACTTTCTGAAATCATCCAAACTGCCAATCATTCTAAACAACAACATACGGCATACATAAGGGCATAACTTCCAAATATTGAACATTTATTTGAGAGACCTTCAGCACTTATATGATGCAGATACCTCATAGAAGGAATGTGATTTAATTTCAGTGGCTGTTTGTTTAACCATAGGACATTTCTGAAATCAAATTTCTTCATATGAAGAAAGTTGTGTTTGACTCCAATCAATCTCTGTCTTCCTCAAAAAAAAAAAAAAAAGTCTCTGTCTTCCTCAATTTTCCCCCTTCTATCTTCCCACTCCCTCCTCCTGTCTTTCTTTGTGGAAACAATATAGAACAAGTATTTCAGTCATAAAATTTCAACTGGTAGTATTTTTTTTTTATAGGCAACTATACTCACATTTATATAGTCACCGCATAAAATTCTGTGTGTACCTTAGTTCACCTAATTCTAAAACATAAACATTTAATGGACTAAAATTAATTAACATATTTATAGGAAGAAAATGTAAAAGGTATCTGTTTTGAAATTTTAAGGATACTTATTTAGCACTCATGACAATTATTTTTATTGATGGTCTGAACCTGTCTTCCATACTATGAAGTGAATCATTATTAATTTGTAGTACAAAGAAAAGCATATGAAAACCTAGACTATCATTAGATCATTACACTCAATGAAAAAAATTAAAGTGCATTCAGAAGCTCACAGTGGAATTAACTGATATACTACTACTTGCTCTATTTTAAATTTCTTTCCTATATTTCCCAAGCAAAACATCATTATATTCAAGGAAAAATAAAGTTTTTTATTGCATTTGGTTGCTTTCTTTGCTTTTATTAATGTAATTACTGGAGTTCTGTATTCTAAGCTACACATCATACTTTGTATCCATGGATCCTCCTTGATACATAAAGTATCCTCAAATATGTAAAAATAAACAGGTCAGGCAATAAAGCGAAAACAAGACAGTAATAACAGTATAGTATTTACTGTTCCCTTTAAAGTGAAAGTATTCTTAACAATTGTTTGCCCTTGGCTTACAGAGCAAGAGAATGTGTGTTAGGAGCTCTAAAAACAATCATCTCCCTTGGCTGTTATTTCTCTATGAAGTGATAAGCTGTGCAGTTTATAAGAAGAAAGCTACTGAATCCTTCAGAAAACACAACCTGGCAGTCTATCTTCAGAGCAGAATGATGAGGTGGCAGGAGTGTGATGGAGGAACCGGTCTTAGAGAACATCATGTAAGGGAATCCAGCTGTGCTTGTATGGTCTCCAGCTATTTATAAAGACAAAACAAGAGAAGAAATGGCTGAAAAGAGAGAAATGCATATGAAGGTTGTTCAGAAACTTGCAGATAGGAGGGAAAGAATGGCAGTGGCAACCATGCATATTAAAATCCATTCATACAGCAACAGATCTACCATGTAGAAAAGTTTTCTTTTTGTATGAAGATATTAGAATTCATAGCAGTGATCTAAGTTTTCAAATTTGTTAAGGACGATGTCTGAGTTCTACTGTTTTAAATATACTCAGCTGTTTTAATTTGAATGATCACTATGCAAGACTTTTGAAAGGGTGGGTAGTGCATCTTCCTGGATTTCAAAGTCAGTAAAAGAAATAAGACATACCCTCAAAGACAAATCTTTACAGGCCTGATATCTCCCTTCTCCCTTAGGCCCCAAATTAAAATATTTAGTATTAAATATACCTAACATGCCAGTGTGGCTAGGTACCACACACTTCATTACTTAATGCTTTACTTTAAGGTAAGATAATAATCCTCTTGCCTTAATTAAAAACATTTCTACTTTCTTCCTGATTTAGTTTGTCAGATTCTCTTCATCTCAGCAATGCTTCCTGCCGTGAAACATACGGTGTTTACAAGGGATGTTTAAAGAACTTAGCTCCATAATAGGTCATTTAAAAATAAGAATTCATAAAAAGAATGCAACATTATGCAAACCCCACATAGCAGATATTATTTTAAAAATACAGACCTTGTTGTAGAAATCAAACAACTCTTTGTGACTGAATTCCACAAGAACTTTCTCCATGCTCTGGAAGGAAGAAGAAAAAGAATGAATTTAGTTATACATAATTTACATTGTAGCTTTTTCCTCTCTGGTTAGCTCCAGAATAATATGCCTTATTATTCTCCAATTGGTTTAAAAAAATATCTGCTCCACTGAACCCCACTGTTCCTAGAACTCACAGACCCACTTAATGACCCTCTATTTTAGCAAAAGATTTCATTTCTGTAGGGACATCTGTTCTTTACGTTGACTCCACAAAGGTTAATAAAATATATGCCAGCAAAAGAACAATTTCATGATCTACTTTTTTTTTTCAAGACAGAGATAATATATGAGATTGTATTTCATCTTTCTCAGCAGTCCATTTGAAATCTAGCAAATACCATTACGCAAAAGACACTGGAGGCGGCGTATCTGATTGAACTCATCCAGCCATTAATGCCTCCCGTCAGCACAGCTGCTGCCTCCAAGCATTAATCTAGCAGTTATGATCTTAACATGCTGAGATTGTTACCTTTTCTAATGTACAGACTCAGCAAAAATTAACAATTAACAAGACAGCTTCAAAGCAGAGACTTCAACACATTCCTTCCTTTCGCCTCAGATGTGACAAGGGCAACCTTTGTGGGAGTCATGGGTGCAGAGGAATACTGTGCATATGTGCACAATGGTGTAGCAGAGTGCAATGGGAATCTGGCCCACCCCAACCTGCTTTTAGGTGATTTTGTAAACTGAGGGAACATTTAGAATAGTTTCTGAAGATGGGTCAAATGTGTCTGATTCAAGGTACCTTTGGAAAATGAAAGTTAATGAGGAGAGAATGCCAAGAATGTGTTTCCTGCTCTGACCATGCTGTCATGCTCACAGGACAAAAATGGGCACCATGAACGAAGAAGCAGACCAAGGTTGAAGACAGATGTGAATTCACGTGCTTCATCGCTTGTTTCTATGACTATTTTTTTCTTCATTTTATCTGTTTTGATGATTTCCATTTCTACTTTAAAAACCAATGTTTTCAAAACAAAGTATTTCCACTAACTCCAGGGAAGTCAATGAGCCTATGTTCAGATATGCTGCCTCCCTTTTCAAGAAGCCAAGGCACAGAGGATCAAATTCCACACTTCTTTTCTCTTGCAACACCTAGCTAACTTGTTAGCTTTAAAACGAATAAAGGGGCATATCTGCCTTAAAGTTTCATTCTTTAGGAGGGATAAAAGTAGTAGGCTAATTGATACATTATTAAATCTCCAAAGGTTGAAATCAGTATTATCTAGTAGTGCTATATTTCCTTCCAGCAGTTACAGGAAGAGGATAGGCCTTAGTTTATCCTATAGAAAAGCAAGACAAGTTCATTACTTTCCCCCCATCCAAATGTTAGGAAGGACTAAAGACTGAATCAGTTTGTGAACAACTGATTTACTGTATGGACACTCAGAGGTCATAGCCAGGCTGGGTCCTTGTTTCCTGAATTTTGCTTTGTTTCAAGGTAGCGTTTTCTAAAAGGTTACATTAAGGAAAGGGAAGGAAGGTAACTTTGAAAATGTACTTCTTAAAATAACAACAGCTAAAATAACATGTGTGCACATGTGCATGTGAGTGTGTATATACGTATATATAGGGAGAGATATGTATATATATTTAGTGTTTTGCTTGACTGAAATACTCAGCAACAGGAAGGGAAAGTGCTGATACCTGAGATAAAATATGCAAAGAACTTATGCCAATATCAGGTATAATCACTGACAGCTATTATCATTTCCCATTCAACCCACAGTGACTTAGGGAAGACCATGAGAATATGGGAGAATACGGGGAGAATACAGGAGTGGTTTTAAGTGTTCCATATCTATGTGTACAGAGATTCTCTTTAGAGTTTGAGAATCTACGTTTACCCAAGGGGTGGCCAAGGGCAGTTGTGTTAGGGTGTAAATGATGGAACTTAGATATGTGGGACAAAAAGGAAAGGAGGACTGGCTGAGAGCCAACTCCCCACATTGTCAAGCTCTGACACGGAACCTCAGAGAGCCCAAGAATTCTAAATTTAAATCTCAACCTCCAGGACACTACTGAAGGTACATTATCAAGGAAGGAGTACAGATTGTATTTACTTAGTAGTTTGATAACTTTATTTATGACTTTAAATTTAGATATATGGCCCAAGGTCTCCATTTTTACTACTGCTTCAGGTCCTGCAAATATTAGGAATGAGTGTGATCAGAATCTTTCTTTGGACCGTGATATTTTTAGGAGAAAAACACACTCTGAGCTTTCTTTGAGAATGTAACCAGAAAGTCACAAATAGGCTTTATCAAACCACAATTAACTCTCTAGCTTCATTGTTTACTCTTCAGAAAATGTGTAGAAGATTCTGTTCACTAAGGAAGCATGTTTTCAAACAACTTCTCTTCAGTTTCATGTCTGGACAGAAATCAGTGCAGCCTAGACCCAACAAAGATATAAGAAGTGTATTTAGTTTAATGAGAGTCCAATTATTAGTATTTCAGTGCTTGGGCTTGGACTGTCTAGCTCTATAAACACTCTGGGCCTTTGACTCAACTCATGGTTCGTTAGTATCTTTGTTAAGGCAAGAAAAAAAATAAAAATGAAATTCAAACGTGCCATCTCAGCTATCAATAGCAACTCTAACAACAAACTTTCAGGTGAGAGATGTAGAAAATCCTGGCTATGGTAGTTTTATAGGCTATTTGACAATGGGTTTAATTATCCATGTGCTTCATGTCTATCACTGTCAATAGATAATGAGATTTGATGACTTAGTTCTATTTTTCCCCCCAAAGGGTCAGAAAGATAGTCTGGATAATAAACTGTAGCCTATTATGTCATTCTAAATAAGAAGAGAAATATCTTAGTGACATAAAACTATAGTTGCAAGTAATCAAAATGCTGTCGCCTTGTCCATTATATACCAAAACTTGAACTATATACCTCTAATCACTTGGTGAAACAAATACATGTATGTATTTTTCATATATATATATATATATATATATATTTTAAATAGTACTGTACTTCACTACTTTTTATGTAGTCAAATGTTTAAGAAAAAACTTTATGAGAACATTACATCTCCATTTTTCCAGTAATCAGATACAGAGGATATTTTCATACAAGGCAAAATGTATTTTAAGTTAAAATAATTTGTTTAAAAAATGGTGATTCTAACAGGGAGTTTATATTGTCTGGCAGAGGAATATAATGACTTGTTAAGTACTACAAATTATTTCTGGAAGGGCTTTTCATTGCTTGTGTGTTTAAGAGGAATATCAATGGATACTTGTTATTATACAGGACAACTTACGGGTAACATGTAGTAGATTTGGTGAAGAAGAAAAAAAAAGTAAATTCAGAGATGAAGAAAATGACAGTAATACAGTAACAGTAGGGGACTTCAGCACCCCATTTACTTCAATGGATAGATCATCCAGACAGAAAATCAATAAGGAAACACTGGACTTAAATGACACATTAGACCAGATGGACTTAAGAGACATATATAGAACATTCCATCCAAAAGCAAGATGCATATTCTTCTCAAGTGCACAGGGAATATGCTGCAGGAACGGTTACATGTTAAGTCACAAAACAAGTCCTAATAAATTTAAGAAGACTGAAATCATATCAAGTATTTTTGCCATAATGGTATGAAAATAAAATCAATCACAACAAGAAAGCTGGAAAAACCACAAACACATGGAAGTTAAACAACATGCTAATAAAAAAGCAACCGGTCAACAGAGAATGAATAAATAAAAAAAGTACCTTGAGACAAATAAAAATGGGAGCACAACCATTCAAAATCCATGGGACATAGCAGAAGTACTTCTAAGAGGGAAGTTTATGGCAATACAGACTCACTTCAAAAAACAAGAAAAAAAAAACTTCAAACAACTTAATCTTATACCTAAAGGAATGAGAAAAAGAACAAGCTAAACTCAAAGTTAGTAAAGGGAAATAAATAATGAAGATAGGAGTGGAAATAAGTGAAATAGAGAAAAAAAAATCAATGAAACTCAGAGCTAGTTCTTTGAAAAGATAAACAACATTGCTAAACCTTTAGCCAGACTTCTCAAGAAAAAAAGAAAAGGCCCAAATAATTAAAATCAGAAATGAGAGGAAATTACAACCAATACTAGAGAAATACAAAGGATCATAAGACAGTACTACAAATAATTACATGCCAACAAATGGGATAACCTAGAAGAAATGAATCAATTCCTAGAAACATACAACCTTCTAAGACTGAGTCCAGAAGAAATAGAAAATCTGAACAGACTGATCAGTATTGAAATTCAATCAGTAATTAAAAAAAAAAAAAAAAAAAAAAAAAAAACCTCCCAACAAACAAAAGTCCTAGGCCAGACAGCCTCCTAGGTGAATTCTAACAAACATTTAAACTAGAGTTAATACCTATCCTTCTCAAACTATTCCAAAAGATTGAAGAAGGAATGCTTCCAGAGTCCTATGAGGCCAGCATCACCAAGATACCAAAACCAGACAAAGCCACCATAAAAAAGGAAAATTACAGGCCAATATCTTTGAGGAACACTGATGCAAAAATACTCAACAAAATATTAGCAAACTGAATCATACATTAAAAGGTCATATACCATGATGAGGAAGAACTTATTCCAGAATGCAAAGATAGTTCAACATCCACAAATTAGTCAATGTGATACACCACACTGACAAAAAAGATAAAAATCATATGATCATCTCAACAGATGCAGAAGATGCATTTGATAAGATTCAACACACAGTTATGATAAAAACTACTGACAGAGTAGATACAGAATGAAATGTACCTCTGACAGACCCACAGCTAACATTATACTCAGTGGTGGAAAGCTGACAGCTTTTCCTCTAAGGTCAGAAGACAAGCATGCCACTCTCACCATTTTTTATTCAACATAGTACTGGAAGTCCTAGTCACAGTAATTGGATAAGAAAAATAAATAAAAAGCATCCAAATTGGAAAAGAAGATATAAAACTGTCACTATGTGCA